GTACAAGGTCTCTAGATATGCAGAAATTATGAACAAATCCTAAAGTCTTATTAAAAGACACCAAAGAAAACCTAATAATTACAAGGATAGAGCATGTTCATAGACAGAAAGATTCAATATCCTAAAAATGTGAATTCTCCCCAACAGATCTACACATTTAGAATAATTCCAATAAAAATTCCAACAAAATTTTTCATAGAACTTAACAGGCTAATACATTTTTTTTTTAAAGCAAGAGGTGCTTGGGGGTTCAGTTGGTTAAGCATCTGCCTCTTGATTTCAGGTCAGGTCATGAGCTCAGGATTGTGAGATGGAGCCCCGTGGCAGGCTCCCACTCAGTGTGGAGTCAGCTTCAGATTCTCTCTCTCCCTTTCCCTCTGCCCCTCCCCCCACTCACACATGTTCTCTCTCTCTCTCTCAAAATAAATAAATAAAATCTTAAAAAAAAAAAAAAAGCAAAAGGCCAAGAATTACCAAGATACACCTAAAGAGAGAGATCTAGGCTAGAGGCCAGGTGAGGGAAGAGGGGGATATGCCCCACAAGATAGATTTATGGCAAAGAAACAGTAATTAAGACAGTGCACTTTCAGTGCAAGAAATACAAATGGACAAATGGAACAGAATAAAGAACCCAGAAAAGGACACACATATGTGTGTGAGGGACTTGATTTACAACAGAGCTGGTACTGGAGGTCAGTAGGGTATTGAAAGCTTGTGCAAGAGACAGTTCTGGGACAACTGGGTACCCATTTTGAAAAAAATTTTTTTTGCTTAATCCCAACCTAACACCAAAACAAATGTAAAGGCAAAAATTTGTTTTGGTTTAATTCAGAAGGACAGTATAGACTGTCTTTATGATTACAGTTGGGAAGGATTCTTTTTTTTTTTTTTTTTTTAAAGATTTTATTTATTTATTTGAGAGAGAGAGAAAGCATGAGAGGGGGAGGGTCAGAGGGAGAAGCAGACTCCCTGCCGAGCAGAGAGCCCGATGCGGGACTCAATCCCGGGACTCCAGGATCATGACCTGAGCCGAAGGCAGTCGCTTAACCAACTGAGCCACCCAGGCGCCCGGGAAGGATTCTTAAGACACACGTTTTAAAAATTCAAACCAGAAAGGAAAGGACTGGTAAATTTGTGGATATTAAAATTAAGATTTTCTGTTAATGAAGACATCATAAAGAAAGTAAACATAAATGACATTTTTAAAAGACATAGACTAGGTGAAGGTATTTCCCACATATTTAACTACCAAGAGATCAGTTTTCAGCATACAAAAATATTACAAATCAAAAAGAAAAAGTCATGAATTATGAACAAGCATCTCGGGAAGATAAACCAAGAGTAGCTCCTAGTAGATTGGCAATATTGTCTCTTTAGGTGAATTGTGAGTAATTGCATTTTATTTTTAATCAATGTAGGAAGGATAGATAGATAGATAGATAGATAGATAGATAGATAGATAGATAGATAGACAGACAGACGTTAAAAATAATCTTTTGTAGGGGCACCGGGTGGCTCAGTGGGTTAAGCATTTGACTCTTCGTTTCGGCTCAGGTCGTGATCTCAGAGTCCTGAGAATGAGCCCCCCATCAGACTCCCAGCTCAGCTCAGAGTCTCTTTGTCCCTCTCCCTCTGCTCCCCTCCTCTTCACTTGTACACTTTCTCTCTCTCTCTGGAATAAATAAGATCTTTAAAATATATATATTCTTTTGTAGATTTTCAGTATTTAATAACAACTTGACAATAGAAAAACAGAATAAATAAAAGGAAAGCAGAAAGAAGGAATTAATAAAGAAAATCCTGAAACCAATAAAATGGGAAACTGATATGCTCTAGAAAGAAGAAAAGCCCCAAAACAGAATGTTTTAAAAGGCTGATAAAATCCTCTGTCAAGCGTTACTAAGGAAAAGAAAACCACAAAAATATGAAGAATGAGAAAGGGAATATAAACACAGATACAAACAAAAGGAACAAAAGAAGCCAATGCTTAGGAGTCACCATGTGCCAGCCATGTTTTAGATACTATGTCATTGACTTTGCAACAACAGTTCCATACCTGAGATAAGTTTATTGATATCCCTGTTTCTCAGATGGAAAAAACATAGCACAGAGAGGTAGAAGGACCTCCCGAAGCTCACGTGACTAGTGAGTGCCAGAGCTGGGACTGGAGTCTAGGCAGCCAGGCACTTCAGGCTATGTGCTCAGTCATTTCTCAGCACTGCCTTTCTTCAAATGTACATCTCGTTGAATGTTAGAGTCCAGAAGACCCTTCCAGACCACTTACTCCGTTTCTCTCATTTTATGGAAGAGGATTTCTTTTCTATAGTGTCCTAAGTATGGAAGAAACTATCTGGAGAGACCTATCTGGAGAGTCCTAAGTATGGAAGAAACTATCTGGAGAGACCCAGACAGAGAGAGAGTGAGCACAAGCAGGGGGAGTGGCAGGCAGAGGTAGAGGGAGAAGCAGGCTCCCTGCAGAGCACAGAGTCTGATGCAGGGATCTACCCCAGGACCCCGGGATCATGAACCAAACCGAAGGCAGACGTTCAACCAACTGAGCCACCCAGGTGCCCCGGAAGGAAATAATTTTTGAACAAAATACAAATGATCAAGTTGACTTAATAAGCAGGGGAAAAAAACTAAAATGAAACCAATAATCATATAAGAAATAAGAAAGTTAATTAATGATCTACCTTTTAAGAAAGCATCAGTCTCAGATGGTTTTATAGCTAAGTATACAGAATTTTTATTTATTTTACTTTTTTTTTTTTTAAGTAGTCTCCATGCCCAGCATGAAGCCCAACGTGGGGTATGAACTCATGACCCTGAGATGGAGACCTGAGCTGAAACCAAGAATCAGACACTTAACTGACTGAGCCACCCAGGCACCACAAAGTATACAGCATTTTTAAAGAACAGATATTCCTATCTTACTTAAATTATTCCACACTACAGTCAAAGAAGAAAGAACTTTGATACATTTTACAAGCCTAGTTTACTCTTAATACTAAAACATAATAAATATGATACAAAAAGAAAACAGACCAACTTTATCTTTGAATATAGATGCCAAGAGTCTAAATCAAATTTTAGACTTTTGCAAATCAAATTTTAGACTTTGCAAATCAAATCCAACCATCTATTAAAAGAAAATCATTTCACGACCAGGTAGAATTCCAGGCAACAAAAATGGTTTAACATTAGGAAATACGTGTCTCCAGTTCAGCACAGGAACAAAATAAAGGAGGAAGATCACACAATTATATCAAGAGTTACTGAAAGGCTTTTGCTAAAAGTTAGCAGCCATTTCCAATAATAGGAGCTCATGTTTACTAAGTGCTTGCTCTGTGCCAGGCACTGTTCTAAGTGCTTTGCTGGCATCAACTTAATTCTCCTAGCAACAACTGTATTGCTACAATTATTAGTTTTCCTATTTTACAAAAGAGAAAACTGAAACTCAGAGAGGTGAAATGATGTCACGCATATTGGAAATGTTGAAGCTAGGATGTGAGCCAAGGCAGATTGGCTCCCGAACCCAAACTGAGTTATACTGCGCTGCTTCTAACAAAATCTCTGGTTAGCACTAAAAGGAAATCACTATACTTAAATATGATCAACATTAATAATATTATGAAAAACTAACAGTAAACTTTATAAATAAAAGGCCAAATTTCAGGAACAAGTTCAGTGTCCAAATCTCTGTGAGGATCTATCAATATACAGCACCATCTTCCCTCCTAATTCTGAACGCGTTAGAGAAAGGATAAAATATAATAAGATGGGAAGCTATTAAAGTCTGGATCAGAGTCCATGGATTGCATCTGTGGGAAACCGGTCTTTATGAAGCTAAACTGCAGAGTTAGGCGGACTTTGCTGACCAGTCAGCACCAGATGGATGCACTGGGCCTGGTGAGGGGACTAGCCAAGCACTCCTGGTTTATTTTCTTCACATTTATCAATGGGTACAGAGATCCCAGGAACATCATGTTTGATTGAACTCCCTCTAAGTGATTCTTCTTATTTAAAAAGGTTTAGGGGCACCTGGGTGGCTCAGTTGGTTAAGCGACTGCCTTCGGCTCAGGTCATGATCCTGGAGTCCCGGGATCGAGTCCCGCATCGGGCTCCCTGCTCAGCGGGGAGTCTGCTTCTCCCTCTGACCCTCCCCCATCTCATGCTCTCTCTCTCTCTCTCTCATTCTCTCTCTCAAATAAGTAAATAAATAAATATCTTAAAAAAATAAATAAATAAAAAGGTTTAATGTAGGGGCCCCTGGGTGACTCAGTTGGTTAAGTATCCAACTCTTGGTTTTGGCTCAGGTCATGATCTCAGGGTCATGAAATCGGGCTCCAGTCAGGCTCTGTGCTCAGCACAGAGTCTGCTTGTCTTTCTCCCTCTGCCTCTCCGCCACCCCCCTCTCTCAAATACATAAGTAAATAAATAGGTTTAACTTAATTCAATCACACCTTACAAGTTACCAAGAATCGAACGCTAGCAGAGAGAGCTAGCCTTTGAGAAAGGCAAAACATGTCCTCTCTCTCACTTTGTGAGAGCTTAGGGTCTGCTGTAAAGGAAAAGGTGAGGTAGCATACAAATGCTGACCATGTGCTGAACGATTTACCTGCAATATTTCACTGAACACTTAATTTAAAACTCACACCAGTTAAAAGGGGAAAGGTCTGTGACTTGGAAAAGTTAAGTAAGTTGCCCGAGTTTATCCAGTTTGAAAGTGACCAAGTGGCTATTTGGCCGGGGAGTGGGGGGGAAAGGTCAACAAAGACAATAAAACATCACGTGAGCTTTTGACATTGTTACAGTATCAGACAATATAATAATTGTCAAATAATCAGACAATCAGGAGTCAGTTTTTACAAAGAGGAGACTGTACAGAAGGGGAGGAGTTCCCCAAGCAGTCAAAGTGTTCACCTTAGTTAATGAGAGACTTTATTATGAAGAATATAAACGTCAGTTTCTAAAAATAAAGTATTCACAAACGTGGAAATACGAGCAAAGCATCTGAACAAAGGCACGGCTAAATCTTGCCAATGGGTCAAATTCTGCAACAAGCAGACACTCCCTTCTCAGTTCTGGTTAGTCTCTATGATACCACCAGTTCTTTCTGTGGCAGGTGGATGCAGAAGCACCAGCGACCAGAGCTTATGCCGTTTATTCCCAGGGAGGAGCACGGACATGTACTTGGGCTGGCACCACATAAGGTAGTTTCCTTGGCTTGCTTGCTTTTTTTAAGATTTTATTTATTGATTTGAGAGAGAGGGGGCACTTATTTGAGGTGGGGGGAGAGAGGGGCCGGCCGAGGGAGAGGGAGAAGCAGGCTCCCCGCTAAGCAGGGAGCCCAACACAGGGACTCACTCCTAGGACTCTGGGATCATGATGTGAGCCGAAAGCAGACACTTAACCGACTGAGCCACCCAGGAGCCCCTCCTTTGGCTTTCTAAAGATATGTGGTAATGGGTTGAGAGGATCATTCCATTATTTTCCTGCCCCAAACCTTTCTTAAAGCTTCCTTCACATCCTTGCTTCTCAAGGAGTACATAAGGGGGGTTCAGCATTGGGATTACCACTGTGCAGATCACAGCAACTGTGCGGTCTTGGGTCAACGAGTAGCTGGACCTGGGGCGCAGGTACATAAAAAGTGTGCCATAGAAGAGGGACACAGCAGTGAGGTGGGAAGCACAGGTGGAAAAGGCCTTGAACCTGCCCTGGGCTGAGCTTATTCTCAGGAAGGAGATGAGGATTAAGAGGTAGGAGACCAAGATGGTAAGGGTGCAGCTCAAAAGGTTGAAACCAGCAAAAATGAAGAGCAGGATCTCACACATCAAGGTGTCCACACAAGACAGAGACAAGATAGGTGGTCCATCACAGAAGTGAGTGACCACATGAGCACCACAGAATTTCAGACTAAAGATACAGCTTGTGTGGATAAGAGAATTGAGAAATCCTGCACCCTAGGAGCCCACAATCAAAGAGACACAGATCTCAGGAGACACAGGGAGTGGGAAGAGCAGGGGGTTACAAATGGTGGCAGAGCGGTCATAGGCCATGGCGGCAATGAGATAGCATTCACTGGTGGTGAAACCTGCATGGAAGAACATCTGAGCCATGCAGCCAAAATAGGAGATCACTTTCTTCTTGGCCAAGAAGTTCACCAGGGTCTGCGGGACAACTGTGGAGGTGTAGCAGAAGTCCAAGAAGGAGAGGCTCTTCAGGAGGGAGCACATGGGCGTGTGCAGAGTGGCACTCATGCGGATCAGAAGGAACATGATTAGGTTCCCCAGCACAGTGATGGTGTACGTGCCCAGGAACATGGTGAAGAGCAGCTTCTGGAGCTGGGGGTCACTGGTGAGGCCCAAGAGCTCTAACTCCATCCCTTGGCTCAGGTTTGCCCCTTCCATATTTCTCCAGTGCCCTGGTGTGTGGAACGAGGGTACCACCCGAAATGAGGGGGAACACCCAGGGGCTCTCACTGGATTTGGTTCTGCTTTAGCCAAGGGCAGCCGTCTGAAGATTGGTCTCACTGTGGAGGTCCTCTGTAGGTAGAACTCTTTCATAGAGAAGGTCTTCTCTACTTGGTTGTTTGGTTAGTTTGTAAGCATTACTAGAGCAGTAGTAAAAAACAGAAAAGAAATGTATACAATTTGGTCTCTCCATGACCTTAAGAAGTTCTAAATAATGGAACAGTTAGTTAGGAAATATTTGTTGATGGCCTTCCATATGCTGAGCTCTGTGTTCTTCCTGTCAGAAATTCAAGTGTCTGTCTTTAGGAAGCTTACATTCTAGGGATAGTATATTTTGTGTTAAAGCACACAGGCCCTGGCATCAGACTGCCAAGGTTCCAAGCTGGGACCTCACCACTAACTAGCTGTGTAACCTTGGGAATGTTATTTAACCTCTCTGAGTTTCAGTTTTCTCATCTGTACAATAGGGATAATAGCACTAATCTCAAAAGATTGTTGTAACAATTCAATGAGTTAATACACATAAAGCACTTGAACAAAGCCTGGCGTGTTAAGAAAGTTCAAAGAATGTTAGCTTTGATTACTCTCATTGGAGAGACAGACCTAGTGCATAACTAAATATGATCAATAAAATGAAACAATGACAAAATTTGGCAAGCAACCCACCACCAAACAACACAGACAGAGACATGTATGCTGAGCAAGCGTGACTGAAGAGACCTTCAGAGGAATGTTCTAGAGGAGCTGAAGGCGATTTATTGGCTCAGCTCTAAAATGGCCTCTGAACTTGGCACAAGTTAAGCACTACTGTGAGTTCTAACAGTGATGAGGGTTGGGGATGTGGAGAGATGGGGATGGTGTAGGGCCATGAAGAGCAAACCGAGACCTTGCTCTTGGAAGCATCCTTTGCAGAGTCTCGAGTCATTTCCAAGGAATAGGTTCACCCTGAACTCGAAGGCCACTGGGGCCAGAGGGGAAGGAACAGCTCTTCCCCAGGGCTTTGTAAATGCCTTTCCTATTCGGAGAATGAACAAGGCCATGGTTGCACCACCTAAACACCATACTCTTTTCCACTCCATTGGCTGCTGTGCTGCCCATGTTGCTGAATTACCTCTGGGTTCTGGAGTCAGTTAAGCACTCCATGCTCTTTGGTGAGGACCCTCAGCTGCAAAGACTTTGAAGCCAGCAGATGTGATTGGGTAGGATGAAAGCTCCTCAAGGAGCTCCTCAGGGCAGGAGTGTAAGTGAATGACACAGCTGTGGATGATGTTGGGAGGATTTGGGAGAGGAGAGCTGGATTGAGCAAAGTTTCTAATTTATCCCACTGGCAGAGTTTCCAGAATCATCAAACTACCAGGGCAGGAGAAGACTCTAAACACATGGATAACTAAATTCGACTGTCAAGTAGATAACGAAGGCACTATGGCTACTGCTAGAGCACTGTGACTGGTGACAAGCAGAAAGCATTGTAATGCCCGAAGAGGTCACATGCCCCACTAAAGTTGAGATATTCAAAATATAAGAGGGCAAATTTGAACACAGAGCCTTGGTAACTTCTTTTAAAGCACATGAAGCATAACTCTGTGATTTGATGTCACTGAGATGTAACATTCAGCCATTCTTTTTTTTAAATATTTATTTATTTATTTATTCATTTATTTATTTATTTATTTATTTATTTGAAGGAGGGAGAGAGAGAGAGAGAGAGCATGCATGAGCGCAGTGGGAGGGACAGAGGGAGCCGGAGAGGATCCCAAGCAGACACTGTACTGAGCACTAGGCGCAGAGCCCAATGTGGGGCTCGATCTCATGATCCTGAGATCATGACCTGAGCCAAAAATCAAAAGTTGGATGCTTAACCTACTGAGACACCCAGGTGCCCCCATTCAGCCATTCTTAAACTAATAGCTGCTAGTTTATAATAAACCCCATTATTGTGGGGGTGTGGGCAGCCCTAGATTTGGGTTGCAAATGTCACTGGCTCCATTGGTTTCAAAAGCCAACCCAACTTCAAAGCAAATTACAAGGCCTTCAGAGAAATGACTAAAAATCCCAGGATGGAATAACTTAGAGGAACTTCAAGGATGCTGAGAAATGGTTGTTAAGAGTGGAACAGGACTTCTTGAGACCCAACTTCACGTCTTCCCTCAATAGACTGTTTCAGTGTGGGTAACTGGACTGCAGGTATCTCTCTCATGAAAAGAGTGAACAACAGCTGAGAAAAGTGGGAATGTGGTCAATGGTCAGGATAGCGTCGATGAGGCGGGGAGGTGGGAAGGGACAGGATAGGGTGGTAGGGAATACAGCGGGTAGCTGATCAGAGGCTCCAGGTTCATTACTCGCTTTAAATCCACTCTCGGGGCACCCGGGTGGCTCAGTCAGTTAAGCCTCTGCCTTCGGCTCAGGTCATGATCTCAGGGTCCTGAGATAAAGTCCCACATCCGGCTCCCTGCTCAGTGGAGACCCTGCTTCTCCCTCTCCCTCTCTCTCTGTATTTCTCTGTCTCAAATGAATAAATTTTTTAAAATCTTAAAAAAAAAAAATCCACTCTCTCTCTTCTCCTCCACTTTCCCCTCTCATCTCTCTTCTCCAATCTGCACTCAATTCAGAATTATTCAGAATATAGAGTAAGCCAAGCAAGGGATGAAGAAACTGACATCTCTGTCAATTTTTCAAAGGACACTGGAATAACCACTATTTCTGTTGGCTGAAGTTTGTACCTGTGAATGAAATCTAGGAAGAAAACTTAAGGGTGGTCTTTTCACATGGAAATGGATTGGGGAGGAGAGCGTCTAGGAGTGATCACCGATGCTTGGGGCCTGTAGGTGAGGGAGGAGTAGGCAAGGGGCTTTATTTACAGCTGCCTCCTCGCCCTCCTCCCAGGAATAGCGGACTGGGAGCGCAGACAGAGAGAAGGCAGCCAAGGAAGCAGCTAGTGTGTCTTGAGCAATAGTGACCCCAAACAATGGTTCTCAAGCATTAAGGTGCCCTGCCCAAGGTTCACCGGAGAAGCTTGTTAAATGTGCAGATTCCAGGTCCCAACCTCAGAAAATTTGATCAAACAGGTCTATAGCTGGGCCCCCAAATCCAGTGATTCTGAAACAGGGGATCTCTGAACCACACTTTGAGAAACACTAAACCATGGGGTACCTGCAGGAGCAGACAGATCTTCCTGAGCCACATATAAACATCCTTTTCTAAACTGCTGGAATTCTCCATGTCCTGGAAAATCAGCCTGTGAGTAGGATGGTTGTCCTGGCCATTCTCTTCTTTCCCGAATGTGTATCAATATCAACAATTTCCAGAAATCTGAATATTTCAGATTTCTTGTGATAAACCTTGTGATAATCAAACACCAGAGAACTTCCTCTTTCAAAGGTTGCTTGACATGTTCTTAAACAAATCATTTATTTCAGGGCGCCTGGGTGGCTCAGTCGTTAAACAAATCATTTATTTCTAGTAAAGCATATGACTTGATGGCAAAGCTCTTACTCTGGGAATCAGAACACAAGCCTTCAGTAGAAAAACAATAAAAACAAAGCCAGACTCTGGGTCCATAGACTGAATATGGAAATCAGAGACCGCTACTGACTTTAACCTCTCACGTGGTGATGGAAGAAAACAGCCCCCACTCCCCAAGACATCCTCTCAACTGATCCTCAAGGGTGGGGAGAGACATCCTTTCCCCCGGGCAGCCCAGCAGCTCACAGCTGGGGAGGATGATGTGTTCACTGATGAGAGTTTAGGAGGCAGCTGAGGAAGTAAGAATAATTGGCCCCAGGTAGACCCACTAATGTTTTTGTGAAGTTAGTAGCATCTCCAAGAGGCTCTATCCAGAAGAATAATAAGGTGACTGGGAACCTGGAAATAGAGAGAATGGATCCACACGAGATCCCAGTCAATATGCTCATCATTAGCCTCAAAGGACTGCTCTCCCTTAACCCTCAACTTAACTCTTACGTTGTATTTCTGCTCCACTGGAAAACCACGTTTTTGTAGCTTTTCTTTCTTGTATGCCAGTTAGCCAATGTACACCTAAGACCTCCCTGCCCAAGGTCATAGTAAAATTAAAGCTATATACTTAGTTTCCAAATATTTGGGTATTTCCTAGGGATCTTTCTGTTCTTGATTTCTAATTTAATAGCATGTGGTCAAAAAACATACTTCGTATGACTTGAATGCTTGTGAATTTTTTTTTTTAATTTATTTATTTGACAGAGAGAGACACAGCAAGAGAGGGAACACAAGCAGGGGGAGTGGGAGAGGGAGAAGCAGGCTTCCCGCGGAGCAGGGAGCCTGATGCGAGGCTTGATCCCAGGATCCTGGGATCATGACCTGAGCCGAAGGCAGACGCTTAACGACTGAGCCACCCAGGCGCCCCTGAATGCTTGTGAATTTATTGAGACTTGTTTTATGGCCCAGAATATGTTCTGTTTTGGTGAATGCTCCATGTTCACTTAAAAAGAATGTATATTCTGCTGTTCTTGGGTAGAGTGTTCCATAATCACCAATTAGGTCATGTTGCTTGGTAGTGATGTTCAAGTCTACTATATCCTTTCTGATTTTCTGGCTACTTGTTCCATAAAGTATTGAAGGAGGGGTATAATGAATCTCTAACTGTAATTGTGAGTTTATTTCTCCCTACAGTTCTTTACTTTTTGCTTCAGGTATTCTGAAGTTCCTTTATTAGGCAAATAAACATGTAAAGATTGTTAGGCCCTTTTGATAAATTTACCCACTTATCAGTATAAAATTACTTTCTTTAGCAATACTGTCTCCACAATTTTATTGATTACTACTAGCATGGTAGATCTTAGATCTTTTACCATCCCTTTACTCTTAACTTTTTATTTTCAACTTTTCTGTGCCATTATGTTTGCAGAATTTCTCCAAGCAGACCTGAAATCTGGGTCTTTTTAGGATGATGATAGGCCTGAAAAACTGATTTCAGATGTACCTTGTCACACAGTAAATATTCAGGAATGTTTTGAAGCTTTACTAGAAAAACTGGTATGGACGAAGCAAAAATCAAACAAACACAGTGAAAGGCAA